AATATATTAAAATAAAAAAAATACTCTTGTAAATTGAAGTTCATAACTAAGAATAGCTATAATTTCGTTGCGTATATTATAACTAAAAATAGCTATGATTTGATTAAAATCTGATTCAGATCTCTTAAGCAAAGGTTAATATGATATATTAATATATAATATAATATAATACATCACTATTAGAATTCATCATGCACCTTATAAACCAGAGATTGCAAACGTTTTCGTCTTCTAGGCTAAGCATCCATGATTGAGCTCTCTTTTACTCGGATTACTCTTTTTGCTTCTTCATCTATTTTCCCATCTCAATTTAATGGAAATGCTTAAGCACATCACTTATTCATAATATAAATAGATACCAAAGCACCGTCTCAGACTGCATTCAGCTCTGGAGAGCTGGCTGGCTTATTATGACAAGAATTGTTAAGGGGACGGGGCTGGGGGGCTGTGTTGCTTTGTTTCTGATTTGCGTTCAGTCTCGTTTCTCGATTGATTTCGCTGATGATGCGGTCATTGTTTGTGGGTTTCGATTGTTTACGCTTTTCATTTGTGTTTGGCTTTTCGCTTTGTTGCATTTTCAATTGAAATTGGCCATGAAATATGCAAATTGACGCCATTCAACTACGTTTTGCCGCGCACCTGCATACATTTTCAAATATTCATGATCATGGTACTTCGCTTTGTGTGTGGCTGTGTGTTCGATGTGGTGTATGTGTGTGTGTATTAGTGTAAGTAGAGTAAATGTAGACAAGTTATTATATCATGTTATAGTTATTATAGTTAATGCCATAAATGTGTTATTTTTGCACTTAGGGAAAGTAAGAAATTTGTCTTGAAATTAAATATTTTTTTTTTGTATTATGATTTTTTTTTTTAACTCAACTTTAAATAAAATTTGCCTCTTGTCGCTTTTCCTTTTTCTGTCTAAGCACTTAAATATACATTACACAGCTTATCAGAGGGAAATGCAAATAGAAGAGTCGACGCAACGACTGAGACATTTTGACAAACATTTTCAATTTAAAATGTGACAGAGCCCTGATGCCCTTCGCCGTTGAACATTTGCCGTTTGCTGCCAGCTGGCAGCTGCTGCTGCTGCCACAGCCTTTGCTGCTTCCGCATGCCACATTTGCACTTCATTTGCAATTTACCACACATATGTATGTGTGTATGTGTGTGTGAATATGACAGGACGTCGACTACATGACCGCGAACCGTGTTCTGTTCATTATTTCATTAGCACATACTGTTTATCAGCGCTTCAAAGCTTTATCACCCCTTTCCTGCCGTACACGCCCCGCTAGCCACGCCCCGATTTATTGTATCTGCATTGTGCTGTTAGTGCAGCGTGAGCAATGTCGTCAACAAATTACAGTTAAGAACCGCAAGCATTTGCGCCGGCTAACCAACTACGTGCACCCAGCACATTGCACGTAAACCACAACTGTGACCCGTGACCCATAACCCGTGACCCGTCTTTCATTTCAGATACGGCGCCGCACCACAGCCACCCGACGGCGGCACCTCCGTGATAATTGCGCTGCTCGACAAACTCATCGAGAATGGACGCAATTATAGCTGCGAGCTGGTGCTCTGTCTCCAGATACTGATGCGCAATGTGCCCATGATTGAAATGCCTTTCAAGGTGAGTAGCAAACAAGCACTCAGCTGACACTCGTCGTGTCCGTCTTGCGTTGACTTCCCTGAGAATGTTCCCAGAAACAGTTTCTTCGATATTTCGAAAAGATTTTAACTAAGTAATATATGTGGAAATACATATATACATATAGTAAATATTAAATATATATTTTGAGCTTTATATAATATTAATGTAAATAATTTAATGCTAATAGTCATAATTTAAAAAAGAAATAATATTTACGTTACTTATAAAAAACTTAAAATTTAAAACATATATATTTGCATTAATTACTTAAGTATTTTTATAAATAATATTACTATATCTAATTTAATCAGAAAGGTTGTATTGTATAATAAAAATAATTAAGTAATTAATGCAAATTTGAACTTTAAGTTTTGAACTTTATGAATATAAAATATTAATAATTTAATGCAAATATTCATAATTTATATAAGGAATATTATTTTTAATACTTTTATAAAATTCAAAATTAAAAATTTAATATTATTAAAGATGTTATACAGTTTTAGGCCATCTCTTAGCTCTGTTAAGGGTTAAGAAATTTTTGTTACCAAAACTCAAATGAAAACTATTTCTGGGAACTAGGAGTTGTTTGTCTGTTTGTTTGGCTTGGCAGATGAAATGCGGCCAGATGCGGGCAGCCAGAGCTCTGTGCGTTTATCGGCCAACTGTGCTGCTTGCTCACTTTTAACTTGTCGCCCCCTCTCCACTCTTTGCAGCCGATGGTGTACGGGACACGCCGAGAAATGTTCTTCGAGCGCTATGGACGACTTCTAATGGACAAAATCGTGGGCAAGGAACAGGTCTATGGTGTGCCGACGCTGCGACATTTGTGCCGGTAATTATCAACTGGGAGCTGAAAGCGAACTTTGTTCCGCATAGGGGCATGGGCCGCGTCTACTACTGTCCACTTGTCTTTGAAGTCCTCGGCCTGAAAGGATGGCTGCTGGGTCAGGCGGGCTTGACAGGCGACAGGCGACAGGCGAAAGGCGAAAGGCGACAGGCGAGGCTGACGTTTGGCAGTCGAGTTCAACTTTGTTTTTTATTCAATTACTTTGGCTGAGATTGCTGCTGCTGCTGGYGCTCCACACTCAACTGTCGACGATAAGCCCGGAAAATTTAATAAGTACAAAAGTCGCAGCAGCAACGGCAGCAGCGGCGTTTGGTCCTGTCTGATTGACAGACAGTTTGACAAAGCATTTTGTTGACGCTCTTCTTTTGCTGTTGCGCCTGCCAACTGGCCTTAAATTTGGCTGCTCTTTGTTTTACTTGGGCTCTGTGTCGCTTTAATGACTTGGCTTTGGGGATGGGCGCCTTCCTCTTCCTTTGTCTATTATGTCAATCTCGAGGCCTTAGCGAGCTCTCAGCTTTGGCGCCGCTTCAGGCCGACTTGTGTTTCAGTCAACAGCTGTTGGCCAAATTTAATTGAATTTCGTACAAATTTGATTAGCAGTCAGCACTTTAATCGATAAGCTGTCAAGCTATTTACTAATTTGATAAGTTGCCTACAAAGAACTTTGCTGTGGCTTTTCCACATTGTGCTCCGATTTGGCTGCGGCTTGTGGCCAGGGTCCCAGGGGCCCAGGGGCCCAGGGGCACGCATTGACCCCAACTTTTTTCTATTTGCCTCGCATGTTTGCCATTTGCCAACTCACGTGTCACATAAAAATCGCAACGACTTTGACTCACCCACACAGGCGGCTTGTACTTGTGTGTGTGTGTGTGTGTGCTTAAATACCCTGTAAGCCGAGTGTGATGCTAGCTGGTGTTTAGTATATTGTAACGAACTGTATATTGTAGGACGGACTTTGCATATTTTGTTTGTATTTTAGATCTCAAATAAGTTTTTATGAGAATTCTGGCTTGGTTGGACTACATTTCATTATCTACTTTTATATCACATTAAGCAATAGAACAATATTGTTTGACTTTGTTATTATTGCCTCAGATTTATTGCTTTTGGAATGGAAGAAACAAATTGTGATCTACAAAGCAAATATATTTACTAATAACAAATTTGTTTAGTTATCAATTCCAGTATCATTACAGGGTATCTGTAGTGCATATATCGCTTTAAAAAATATATCCAATCTGTTTGCATATTTCTTCAGCTATTTGCCAGTTTATTTTCCCTTGGCCAATGTTTGTGCTGGGAAACTGCGCTCTTGCAACTGGACTAGCATATATGGCTGGTGAATATATATTGAGTCTATGTGCGCTCTACATACATATTATATGCAGCAATCAATATATATGCAGGCATTGCATTGAGCGCAGCGGCGACCGCATTCGTGAAACAGATTTCAATTTCAATGCCTGCGGCTGGCGCTTGACGTGCGATTTATGCATTTCTCAGCGACAGCTTAACTACTTTGCCCACCGACTATTTGAGTTCAATTAAGGGCTTATTAATGTGACGTATCGGCCACAGGACGCATTCCAGTCCCAGTTCACGTCATGGGCCCTCGTCATTTTCGTAATCGTTTAGCGGCAGTCGGTTGGGGACACGCTTCATTGATGTGGCCGGAAGAAAAGAAGGCCATAATTTACAGCTGTAAATAATGTTGACAACGCAAATTAACGGCTACATAAAAAGTTGCTCCCAGCTGACTGAGGGCAGCTTAAGCGAGAGATTAGCATATTCTAAGGCTGGCGTCGCCTCGTTTTATGATGCCAATTTTTTGTTGTTGTTTAAGTTTTTGCATTTCGCACAGAGTATTTCGCAATTGCCTCAGCAAAGCCCACTCTCACACACACACACACACACACACACACGCACTCGAGTAAGGTTCAGTAAGTTTCCTTTGGCCGCCTCGAAAGCAGCTTTCACTATGCCTCAAAAAAGACGCTTGATTGCGCGCGAATCAAGTGGGGAAAGTGAAAAAGTATGCGAACAAGAGAGGCAAGCAAGAAAAATCTACACACCATTTCCGCCACTCGAACTTCTCTCACTCAGTTGCTTCCGCATACCCTGCAAATCGAGCAAGGCTGTCTACATTTGACTCTGAAACTAACCACAAATCAAGTCAATCAAGGATCGTAGCTGTCTCTGCAATCAATGCTTATCCGGCTCTCAAGACTTAAATAGATTTTATAAAAAAACTGCCTAAAACATTACAAATTTTATATTGTATATTAAGGAAAATAAAGGTACTTGTAGAGCATATCAAATATAGAATACTCTACTATATAGGCATCAGCTTTCGACCCCACAAGAAAAAATTAACAAGCAATATTGTTTGCATCAAGTTACTAAATAAATGTAAGTTATATTATTTATAGTCAAATTATCAAACTACCAAAAATGCTCAAAAATATTGTATAAAAATTCCCGAGTGTTATTTTATAGAGCATCCACTAGTCATGTTAGTCTTTTCTCATTCCAATGCCGCAAAAAAAAGAGAGTGAAGAGAAACGCAACTTTGTGCGAAAGTAAAGTTTATAGAAATTTTCTTACAACAAAAGTTTTAAGCACATGAACTTTGCTGAGCTCCGCTCGGCGCGCATTTTTTTTTCTTGGCTGATTTTTTAGCTCTTTCTACTTTATTTCGTTATAGCAGCTTATTATGTGAAACTTAAATTAATTTATGAAATAGCTGGTCGAGATTGACAGGCATGCGAAGCGCCAAAGAGAAAGTTGCTGAAAGCAGCCAGCTTTACGGCCAATTCCGGGAAGATACTCCACAGATTTGCCTTAGAGATATGTCAGTTAGTTAGCTAACAAAGAGCCAAAGTCAAATATTAGTTAGATAACGAAATTTCTTTGCTCTGTCGTCTAGCTGCCGCATTCGGGATGTGCTGCGCGAGCATAATCAGCTGCCAAATGGCATCGATACGCTGCGCCTGCCCAAGCGCCTGCAGCGCTACATCGACCTCACCGAGGAGCTGGACGGAACGCAGCTGCTGCCGCCGGAGAAGCCTGTGCAGCGGCTCACAAATGCCATGCAGCGACTGGAGACCATCAGCAGCGGCACCGAGAGCGAGGACGAGAGCGACAATCATGTGCAGCTGCTGGAGGCTGTCACCGATGCGGAGAAGGCAGCTGTCGCCGCCTTTGTGGCCACCGCAGGCGACGGCGTCAACATTGGCGAGGCCAAGCAGGCGGCCATTGAGGCCTATGCTGCTGCCCAGGATGTGAACCCACCATCGGACCAAACCCACCCGCCGCTTAGCTAATTGTACAGTATTTCCACAGTCTTTTGGCACTCACCGATAGGTGTCCTCGCTGATGTTGATGCGGCCGGGCACGCCGGTTGTCTCGGTGCGACTCGTCAGGTTGACCGTGTTGCCAAAGAGGCAGTATCTGGGCACCCGATTGCCGATGACGCCGGTGACCACCTCGCCCGAGTGGATGCCAATCGTGATTTGCTGTGAATGGATAAACACAGACATACATATATTTAAGACAGTTTTGCAGAAGAGCTGCTTAACTTTGTAATTTATTAACTGAATAAAATGTTGCCTAACACCCAGCTAAAGTATGTGCCACGCGCAGATTACCAAGTCCAACACTTCATTGTGCTAATAAACTTTCCGAGCAGGCCAACAGAAATGACTCAAGTTCTGCACGAAAATGTGCCAAGTTGCAAGTTCGCAGCCAAGTAAAGCCGGGGAGAAGTTGCCACAATTACTTTGAAAAAGTTGCAGTTGCCATTGCCACTGCCAGTGCCACATTCTCTGCTGCGGCTGCTGCTGCTTCTGCTTCTGTGTTGGCCAAAACTTTTCTTTAATTAAATTTAAAACGAAATGAGCTGCGGTTGCGGCCAAAATGCCAAAATACTAAAAACGCAGAAACCAAAAACCAAAAACCCAAAAGCGAAAGGCGAAAGGCGACAATCCCCAGCAGGTGATGTTGCCCCAAAGCTGGTCAGGAATGTGTGGCAAGGTGAATAGATGCTTGACTAGCTGCTAGCATGTGTGCAATTGTTTGTGTGCGGCATGAGAAGCCAATGCAGAGAGAATTCACAATGAAAAACAGTTGAAGGACTTGAATGGCATTTAGATTGTAGTCGCAACTGAAGTTCTAAGAATATCCATAAATTTCTTGGTGAATGGAATTTCCTATATTGAAGATATAGACGAAGTTTCTGCCCAATAAGCGAGGGTTGTATGTATATAATATTGTATATAAATTATATATACTGAGCTTTATCATTATAGAGCTGCTCTCAGCTTTCAGCCTTCTCCGTTAAATTTTAGCATTACCTATATCATTGCTATACATATTATTACTTTAATTAATTGGATCGTTACAGAAAATGAAAGAGTCATATGAAATGTTTTACTTAGCAGGAAGCGCAATCAGCGTTAATTTAATTTACTTTTAATATATTTTAGAAGACTACAATACTCTAATTGCGTTCAGCGTATAAAAAAATAGAAAAAAAATTTAAATGATTTTTCAATATATTCTACAACAATAATTAGCTTCAATGCTCTTCTTTCATATATTATAATCGTTTTAGTAATACTCGCATAAGCATACTTCTCACAATAGTAGTATAAATAGTCAATCAATCCTTTCGCTCATCTGCTGGAATACAGGGTATATCAGCAATAGAGTGCGCTGCAGTAATTACGTGTCTTAGTTTTGCCAATTGAACGCGAGGAGGTCGCACAGATGTGGGTAGTGTGAGAGCTGTCGAAAACTTTGCTCCATTCATTTGTACGCCATTGAAGAGTGTGTCCGAAGCTTTTATGATTGTGCTATATATGTGTAGCTCGATTCGCACAGAAACTGCGGGTAACTGAATCAAATCAATGTCTGGTCGACCATGCGGCGGACAAATGTAATTTTGATATGTTGCTTTCGAATTAGAGTGAAGCAGTTTCTATTCAATAAAAGCTTAAAATGTACATATATAGCTCCTAAGTGCTCAGCAAGTTTGTGAATTGTGTGAATTTACTCAGAAAGTGCACAAAATATATACGAAGGATGACGTAAGTAGAAAATTGGAATTGTAGGTGTTTAATTTCAAAGAGGTGTGTATGTTAGATATTTCAGTAAAAATTATATAGAATGAAATACGATATACATATATACATAGTTATAATATATCAGCCTAATATATCAGCACATATACTTATAATATATCAGCATCGAAACTTAGTTCAAACTTCTTTAGGCAACTAATCAACTCGATTTCTGCATTTGCCATACAGGGTATTGACAAAGGAACTGCAGGCGAGAGTTTATTTGCACAGTTGTAGTAATATTTATTGATTGCAAGCAGCTGGCAGAACGCGCCAAAAGAATAGAAAGCTTTTTGCTAGGAAAACAGAATTGCATAATTGGCTACATGAAAAGGGTGTGGGTGGGAGGTGGTAGGTGTCAGGTGGTGGGTGGGGCAACAGTGCTGCAGGGTATTCTGTTACATTTTTATTGTTTTCACATGACTGTTGTTGTGCAGCTAATGAAGCGCGAAATAGCCACAGAGCAGCAGGAGAACGGATCCGGCTGGGATTTGTTAATTGCATTTTGAGCTATCTATCAATTTGGCTCTTTGCCTGTCGAAAGGCGAACAAGTTTTGTCTTTTTCGATTTTATTTTGTGTTTTGCTCCCTTTTTTTGGCATTTGGCAGTCGGTCGTACGCATCCACACATACTGCACATACTTCAAAGTTGGGCCAGAGTAAGTCCGGCTACGTGCATCCGGCTGCGTTACCAAGAGCAATCACTCATAAGATGAGCAACGGTGGCAGCCACAGCAGTTCACAGTAGTCGCCTTGCATGCAACACGAGTGGAAGACGAATGGGCCGATGGCTTAAGACGACGCAGTCGAGGTGCGCGGCGGGGGGTGCGAGGTGCAAGGCGAGTCGTGCTGTGCAATGAAAATGCTAGCAAAAACAACTTTGACAATAAAGTCGGGCGACATGAGCTGAGCATTCGAGGACGACTTCCTGCTGCACGCCTTGCCGCACATGCAGCAAGCAAGTGACTGCAACAAGCCACAAGCATTGTCCACACGTACAACAATGCTGACATCGGCGCCGACGTCGGGCTGGGCTGCTGTAATTGTGAAGGATGCCATCAAGTCGACATCCCCTTGTCCTCTCACACACACATACATAGATGTCTTTCCCTGTGTACATGTCTCTCGTATATTTTAAGCTCAAGCATTCAAAGTGTTTAAGCCCACAAGAGAGAACAGAAAGAGATCTTGGAAAAACAAGCGCGCACGGCCAGAAGTACAAAGATAGATACCCTATACCCTGTAGATCTATATATAGGTATTATAGGAGCTATGGAAGGAACTTATCGGATGCCGCTCTAAGGCTGACTGAAGGAATAATAAATATCTCACAGCAGGATGAAATGCAAGAGAAGTAGATCCAGTTCTTATTAACTCTGAGAACTGTATTCCAACTAAATCGTGGGATTAAAGTGCCGCCCGCTCGTTTTGTGTGATGGTGACCAATTTGCATACCCTTTAGCAAAACTCTTTTCAAATTGCAGCGGGCCGCAGCTCGACGCAGCTGACGGTCAAGTGGCACGGGCTGCCAAGGTCTTGGGGCAGAGATGGTGGCGGTGGTGCGGCGCCTGACGGGGATCGGAATGTGTTGTCAACCCAGGCACGTCACACAACTTGATGCTTGTGCTTTGACACGGTGTCATCAATTTGGAATTAATTTCAGCAATTTACACAATTTGCCACAACTTTTTGCTAGCTCAACTTTTGCAGCGTATCAACTAATTTTAGGCTATAATATATATGTATATAATATGTGTATGTAAAGAGGGTATTATATTTGTATATATTAAATGCCACAGACTGGAGCAGTTATTATAAATAATATATATTTGATGAGCATGGCAGGCTGAATCTGATCAACTTGATATGCGCTCAGTAGTTATATTTGTTTAAGGTTGCTCTAAATAGATTCGATTGAAATATAAATTAATGATGATCATACTATTCAGCAATATTCTCATACTGTTTAAATAACGGAGCTCTTCATTTGCAAGTTAAATTGAACTGCGGAAGAGCATCATGCTAAATACAATATATGAAGAAGAATGATTCCATTAGATGGGTATTTGAAGTAAGAGATATCGCCCTATGAAGAGATTCGTGTAGCACACTATATTGAAACTTACTCAGACTTGGTTCTTCGGATCTCTCTTTAATATTTTGATCAATAGATAAAAGTAAGAGATCAATACTACTTAGATTTTCGTATATCAAAAATGTGGCTATTCGAGTTGCTCAGAGCACTCTGAGTAGAGCATTGATTGCAGTAGCTCAAGCATCTGGTTCATCGACCCACTCTGAGTAGATTCTCAGAGAAAAACAGTAGTTTAGCACAAACCTCTACAACTCAAACATCAGAGTTCTGCCTAGATCATCATAGCTCACTTATCTGAGTGGAGCGTGCTTTGAATCAAGAGTCTTATGCAGAAATTCATGAGCTTTTGAATAACTATCAAGCAAATCTGCCAAAAAGTGTTCAGCTTAAATAGTTAAATCCTTTCCTTCCTTTGCTCATTTCCTAGAAGTAATTTGTCAAAGACTGAAAGTGTCTAAAGTCTCTAAAATTTTGAGTTTTTCGGGCCGCGTGAATTTCTTGCTTAAATTACTTTTCTGTCTCTTGTGGCGTTGCACGAAAAGCGAAAAGGCCAACTCTTCGTTCAACGTCTCGTTTATATATATGTATATACATACATTTGATTTATATATATACATTTTTTTTATCAATATTTTACGTGCTGCTTGTCACGGCAATTTGCGAGTCGTAGTCCTTTGGTGTCTGTGCCCCATTGATGTTTATGCAACATTGAGCCGTTGCCTAAATGCATTCAGCAACAAATTGCGCGCAGCTTGTTCAGCTTGCAACACGAATCGGGGGCAACTTTCGAATGCTTTCAGTGCGCACAATTAGCAGGCAGCCAAACGACTCGACACCAACTGGCAACTGTCTCTCTCTCTCTCTCTCTCTCTCTCTCTTGCTCTCTGTTTCTATCACTGTCTCTGTTACTGCCACGGCCCGTGCTGCCACTTGACAAAGTTGTACATTAGTTGTGCATACAATTTGCAGCATTCATTTAATATTGTCGCGCCTCGAGTGTGCAGCAGACAGCAGACAGCTGCGCTGTAAATAACTCAAACTTGTTACCAACTAAAGAGTTATTAATCGACCTTAACTGCATGTAATTAAAATTATATTTAAAATATCAAATTACATCCACTGCATTATTTCCTACATAAAGCTGAC